ATTATTTTAGCAGCGGATATGTTCGATCAAGAAAAATCGTCGAAGGTGTATGTTTATAAACAGAAATTCAGACTTTGCTAAGCAGACGCTGTTTTGTAACTGAATAGTTAACATTAGGTCAGATCAAATGATGGTTTCCATTCAGGGTTACAGGTTCGATTCCTGTCGGAGAAGCATATATTTTCTACGTAATTCCTCGATCATTCATTATTTAAAAAACAGAGAGTTTACTTAAATTATATCTATGAAAATAACGTATAAACGGATAACTTTTTGAATATGTAAATTTTGTACATTCTCGATTATGGTATCACCAATTTGTACTGTCAAAAATGCATTTGGTCTTCTTTCAATTAATAGTCCTTTCTATTCTCTTTTTTTTTTACTAATTTCTTTGGGAGATCCTGCTTTTTTTATTTTTGTGTCTTCTGTTGACACTCTGTCATCAGTATATTTTATGTTTTTTTAGGATTATGGCCGCCAATAATGGATCTGGGTCATTCAGTCAGTTAGGTGCCATACGTGATACACGCTTAAGTGATCATGTAACTTTCGATACATAACTGACGAGGCAGATATTTCCCGCAGTAGGTTGCCATTCCTTTCTGTGGTAGACCAGTTGCCATCCAAAGCTGTAGAACCCGGTCTGTCCTACTATTTACCCATAGCTGGGGGGGGAGAAGAAGAGGATTCATACCTTTCCCAAGAGTATTAGCGCGTAAGTGAATGTTATTGATTCGAGTGGAATTTGAACTCGGATCTCCGATTCCAAAATCCATTACTCCACCAAATAATCAATTCATTGTAACGGTTGAATAAGTTCAGTGAGAAGAGACAACCTTGTCTTACGACACTTCCCAAATTTAGAATTCTTTATTTCCATTAATATCTATGATATATATTAGATTTTTGGCTGCTTCTTCGAAGATTTGCTGACAGCGAAATGGACATAACAGAACCGATAACAGACATTAAAAATATTTGCATAATTAATAGTGTGACATTTAACACACTTTCACAAAAGTTTATAGTGACTAACATGATTATCTCTGTTATGCGAAATTCGAGACAAATTTGATTTCTATTAATCGGATTTTGCCTTTCTGTTTAACTCAAGATTGTTCAGAAATATACGTTCTTTACATTGTTCCGACTGTTGTCCTCATCTTTATTGTCAAATTCACAACGTTTCGGCCTTGTACGCTCCGGCTTTCTTCAGTTGATTGGACTTTCGAATTGAACCCTTTATTTCGTCCACCGGGGTAGATTGCTCTACTTCCACGTACCATGACTCTTCCGTATGTCTCCCTTTAACGCAGCTCTCAACGTTTTTTGTTCACCACTGTAGTAACCAGGTGTTAAACTAACTGCACTATTGGTCAAGTCACTGGATCCAACCAACACTTTTATACACTGGGCCATATGTCCTTGAGGATATCAGCGTATGAATTTTTGGGACATCAGTAAAAGAAAGAAAGAAAGAAAGAAAGAAAGAAAGAAAAAGAAAGAAAGAAAGAAGTGGTCAATTTCACCTGCCATGGACTATTCTTCAAAAGAAATATCATAGACTATTCCAATTTTGATCGCCAGTGGAAATTTGATCGCCTGGAAAGACAAAAGACATATCATAGACGCTACTTGGTTTCAATGAAAAAAGTAAAGTAAAGAAAGAAAGAAAGATATAAAGAAGTGGTCAATGTTGATCTGCTAGTGCTTCATAAATAATGGACCATTTTGATCGTCTGGAAAGAAAAAAGACATATCAGTGCTACTACTTGGTTTCAGTGTGAAAACCAAAGGAAGAATTCATAAATAATAACGCATAAATAATGGATTATTCCATTTTTATCGCGTGGAAAGACAAAAGACATATCATAGACGCTACTTGGTTTCAGTGAATAAAGTAAAGAAAGAAAGAAAGAAAGAAAGAAAGAAAGAAAGAAAGAAAGTGAGGAAATATAGAAGTGTTTAATGGCTGTTTCAGTGAGATGAAAAAAGTTGACAGTTTCATATCTTTTTCATTTGTACCCCATTCTTCTTCAAATTATGACCAGCAGTCAAATTTGTGCATGTTATTACAATATTGTGTTAAAGTTGTTACGTGCAAATATTTAGCGATGCGATAGGGGGAATTTCTACAGAATTTTTATTGTCAAATGAGTTTTTAAATCAATGACTTAAGAATTAAAATTCGTCACATAATTTAAATAGGAAAATCGTGAAAGACGAGTATTTCTATTAAATATATGAGATGAAAATATTGTTGGCAACAAATTAGAGTGCTGAACTGTTATGTAATATCTAATCTCCTACATGGCAATTGTATTTCATATTTAACGTGGAACTCATTTTTTTTATCATTTCACACGAAGTAAGGCAATAAAGCTACTTAGATGCAAGGGTTTACTGAGTATGAGAGAAGACGAGAAAAAAAATAAGACTTTAAAGGCTACAGGACAATAGAAGAACTTGAATTAAAAAGACAGAATATAATGTTTGGAACTGTATTTAATTTTTTAAAGATCAGCGTTGACTGGGGTGCAAGAAGCCGCAACTGATTTCCACGAGCGATAGAAGAAACTATTAGCAAAGAATTTATAGTTACATCGAGCCATTTTACCTGTAATATGATGAGACCTAGCCGTCAATCTAGTTCAGAGCTTAAATTCATAAAGTCTACATACCATAGAGGAAAGTTCATCAGAAAGTATTTGAAGAAAAAGCACAGTGAAGCGGCTGTGGGAACGTAACTGACGCCGAGATGTCAGAACCAAAAACATTGTTGATTCTTCTTTGGATTTAATCAAGAATCTCTAAATATATAGCAGGAGCAACTGAGCTAATGTGGCAGCAATATCCAACGAAAAGACGAATGATTGACATATAATTATGTCAGATAGATTCTTTCCTAGTAGCAGGCCTAACAATTGATTCAATATAATATTTCTACTTGCCATCGCTGGAAAACGTTAGTCCGAGAAGATTCAATGAGTCGCTCACCTGGAGGTTAGCATCAGCCATACTAATGGAAGACAAGAACGATAAAAACGGAGCAGTTTCGTTTTGGGGAATGTAAAAAAAATAGAGAGAGTCCATTGCTGAAAAAAAGTCTGTTCATTCTATTGCCTGAACAGATCAGGCAGCAACGTTCAATGAATGGATGAATGGTAGATTTATAAATGTTTAAGATAGATTTTAAAAGTTAATAGAATTATGTGGTAACAGCGAGTAACTATCTTAAATTGTTTATTCGACTGCAGAACAAATACAAAAACGGATGGTAAACGATCAGAAATGACTTAGAGCGAAAGATCATTAATTTACAAAAGAGCTATGATTTCCCACATCGTAAAAGGACAAGACACATTCTCTCACCTTTCTAGCTAATACAGAGATTTGATAGAAGTAATTACGGGAATCATGGACCGAGCATGTGAGCAATGATGAGGTCTTAGGCAGGTTACAAACAAGGAGAAGGCTTATACTTAACATCAGATAGAAGAAGCTGAATTTTCTGGGACACATAAAGAGGAATGAAGGCATGGAGAACCTGATACTCACGGGTCAAATAGAAGGAAAGAGGGACAAGAGAAAACAATGCGTGACATACCTGACGAGCTTGAGCAAGTGGATGACAAAACATGGTGTAGGAGAGGAAGTAGTGGGAAGGAGCTCGCTGAGAGCTGCAAAGGATAGAGGGAGGTGGAGAGCCATGATCGCCTACGTCCTGAAAGGACATGGCACACAAAAAGAAAATATTAACAATGGAAAAAAATAGTTATACTTAACAACAGGACAAGACCGTTGAAATTATTGGGGCACAAAATGAGGAAAGAGGTTATGTAAAATTTGATACTTAAAGTTAAGAGCGGTGGTGGAAAGCAACGCATGACAAGCCTGGCAAGATTGGACGAATGGATGGCTGAGCACGATTTGGAGAAGATAGCAAAAAGACAAAAGTTAATGAGCTACAAAAGACAGGAAATTGTGGAAAGCTATCATCAGTTCCCAATTAGGTATTTATGCCGATGACACAACTATTTACTGCGTTCTTAGCAAATCTGGCAGCTGCTCTTGAAAATAAAGTTCAATCAGTGGTTAACTGGTGCAAGAAATGGCTTGTAAATTTCAACGTTGCCAAAACAAAACTACCCCACTGTACCTGTAACGGCATACACCCGGGCTGGGTTGAGCCGGCTCCAATATTAGAGCTTCATGGGAATTTGGAATTCACAAGCGGTCCCCAACCCGCATGTATAGCACACGAGATTTGATTATAGTGGTGAAGGTTGATTCACATCAATCCAACCAAATATGTTAGCTCTACCTCTGATATTTAGCGCTTTCTAATAAGTGCCGCGCATATAATATATAAATAATTATATATATATATATATATATATATATATATATATATATATATACACTTTTCACACACACACACACACACACACACACATATATATATATATATATATATATATATATATATATATATAAAGAAAATTTGGAAAAAAACAAACAAAAATCCTTAAATGCAATTATGTTGTTTAAAATGAATGAAATGTCGACGTCTGACGTTTCGGTTTAATAAACCTTCTTCAGAACAATATTCATTAAAAATACAATTCAGTTCAATTTGACAAAGACGATGGACATAAAACAAGTCTTATCCAAAACAGATAACTGAAAATTTTTAAAATGATCAGCTTTCCGTTTAGCATGGTCACGTTGTCGTCACATGGGCGACGCTTTCAAAAATTTAATGAATATTGTCCTGAAAAAGGTTTATTAAACCGAAACGTCAGACGTCGATATTTCATTCATTTTAAAAAATTATAATTGATTTAAATTTTTGTTTGTTTTTTCCAAATTTTTCTTCATTCTGTCGGATCTATATCCATTTACATTTGCTTATATATATATATATATATATTATATATATATATATATATATATATATATATATATATATATGATATTGATATTGTAAGTAGATTATGCTTGTCTTCGGAAGTTCTTGTCGGAAATACCAAATCCTCCTTAAAACTTCACTTCCTGTTGGTTCGTATTTTTTAAAGATTTTTTTTTTCATTTTCCTGCACAATAATTTTGTCTCTTTCTTAGGTATTTCTTCACCCAGGAATATTATACATTTTCTTATATCATTAATAATTACTCTGTTTTTTTTTGTTGTTGTTGTTTTTTGTCTTTTTTTGCATATTTCTTTTTCCCTTGAGTTCGAAGTTTATTTCTTGTTTTCTTTTTTTTCTTTTCTGTTATTCACTCTTTTCGTTTTTCTCTTGTCTTCTCTTCATTTTCCACAGTTCGCCTTTCACCTTTTACATTTCACCCCCATTTCTTCTTTTTCCCTCAGATCCGGTCCCTCTTTTTTCTGGAAATTATTTCTATGAATTGTCTGTTTACTTCCTTTCTTAAATTCAATCTGCGTTTACTTCTTTAACACTTCGTGTTTTTTTTTTTCCTGGTATTTTTTTTTATTATTTCAGCCATTATTATCAGTTTTTTTTTCTTTATTACTCCTTTCTTTTGTCCATTCTTTTTTCTTTCTTAATGGTTTTTGTTTTTCAGCATTTGTCTTTTTTCTTCTATCATACTCTTTTTTAATTTTTATTTCTTTTGATGTTTTTTTTTTATTCTTCGTTATTTACTTCAGATTATCTTTGATTGCTTTTCTTCTGATTGTTTTATAAATCCAAACAATTATCTGCAATATAATCGTCCCTGAGACCCGATGTGTCTTCCCTCTGACTTTTCTACACATATTTTCATGGCAATTACTATGACGCCCAGACTACGTGCTACTTGATTGGCATTTAGGTCCCAACCTTTTACACTCGAAATAGTTAAATGCAACTGACACTTCTACTCCAACAGTTTCTTTTCTCGCACTTTTTGCCTGTGGAACAAGCTTCGGTTATTTGCTTCCCTGAAATCTACAATCTTCAAAATTTTAAATGCAACGTCAAAGGTCATCTTCTATTTTTTGAATCCCGTTCATCTTTTATCTTTTCCTCAGTCCACCAATCTTTCCTTCTTTTTTATGTGACATGTCCTTTCAGGACGTAGGCGATCATGGCACTGCACCTCCCTCTATCTCTTGCAGCTCTCAGCAAGTTCGTTCCCTCTGCTTCCTCCCCCAGACTGCTTTCTTTCATCCACTTGCTTAAGTCCGCCAGGTATGTCACGCGTTGTTTTCTCTTGTCACTCTTTCCCTATATTCGACCCGTGACTATCAGATTCTCCAGGCCCTCCTTCCTCATTATGTGTCCCAGAAACTTCAACTGCCTCTTCCTGATATAAGGTATAAGCCTCCTCCTCCTCTAAGATCTCATCGTTACTCACACACTCGGTCTATGATATCCTTAGCATCCTTCTGTAGAACCACATCTCTGTCGCCTCGAGTCTCTTCTTCATATTTGTGGAAATCGTCAACCATTCGCTACCGTAGAGAAGGACAGATATCAAGTAACAGTTCAGCATTTTTTTCTTCCTTACCAAAGATATCCTTCTGTCTCGCGGTACTCTGTCCAGCTTTTGGAATGTGTCCTTGTCTATCCCAAATATGCCTACGGATCTCAGTGTCACACTTACCGTCCTCTGTCAAGACGCTTCCCAGATATTTAAACTTCCACGTCTGCTTGGTTTTAGTGTTCCCGACCTTCACAGGGACTAAGTCTAAACTACAAGAAGACGAAGAGCATGGTCGTCAGTCAGAGGATGAACCGGAAATGCCATCTGAACGACGGGAACTCCACCAATATCTAGTCTTATCTCTCACTTTCACTCTCTGTAATACACTACATACTAGTGGCATTCCGTCCTTGTTTGATTTAACAAGCATTTGTTTCTTTTTTCACGTCTTTTTTCTTTTGTACACTTTTTCCACACTGTTTACCTTCTTTCGCGTCAATGTTCTTCGTGTATATGTACTAATATGTATATAAGTATATATGAGATATTTATATATATTTCTGTGTTTAGGAATTTTATTTTTTATATATTAGTCTTATTTTTATGGGTATATATTTATTTTTCTATCCATTTCTATATATTTTAGAACATATATATTTTCTTTTAAAATCAGGAGTTCAGTTGAATCCGCTACCTTGGTTTCAACTCTATGGTACCCTGAGGCGATTTTTACCAAATGATCTCTTAAAAGCTTTATATATATATATATATATATATATATATATATATATATATATATAAAGTTTCAAATTAAAATTATAATGTTTTTATTTTTATGAAAGTATTTATTTTTATATATATATATATATAATATTTCAAGTTGTCCTCAATTTTTCATCAGAAATAACTGTTACAAATAAATTTCGCGAAGGACGCTACTTGCTAACAAACAGTAATTTTAATTTATTTGTAACAAACAGTTATTTCTGATGAAAAATTGAGGACAATTTGAAATATTAATATATATATAAATAAATAAATATTTTCATAAAATAAAACATTATAATTTTTAATTTGAAACTTTTTTCTATATATACATATTAAGAAAGTATACGTGGCTTCTCATTATGCTATATATATATATATATATATATATATATATATATATATATATATATATACTGAATGCTATATTATTATTTTTTTAATTAAATAATCAAACTCACGCTGATGTTGCGTTTAATAGAAAGAAGAAGAAGAAGCAGCAAGGGTATTATAAATGTATCGGTGGGTGTTAGTTGAAATGTAATTTTTTTTATCATCCAAATATATATACATATAGTTTTTTCGTATTTTTCTACATTTATTTCTTCTTACTGTCATTCGATTTTCTTTCTATCTGTTTCTTGTGCCTCTCTTTATTGCTTTTATATTTACATTTCTATCCTTTTCTATATATTTTAGAACATATATATATTGTTTAAAAATCAGTAGATCAATTGAATGCGCTACCCTGGTTTCAACCCTACGGTACCCTAAGGCGATTTTTTATCAAATGATCTCTTTAAAGCTTTTATTTATAAATATATATATATATATATATATATATATATATATACACTGAATGCTATATTATTATTTCTTTTAAATAAATAATCAAACTCACGCTGATGTTGCGTTTAATAGTAAGAAGAAGAAGCATCAAGGGTATTATAAAAGTATCAGTGGGTCTTAGTTGAAATGTAATTTTTTTTTATCATCCAAAGATATATACACATAGTTTTTTCGTATATTTTTTTCTTTTTTGCTCTTTCATTAATTATTTACCTTTTTACCCACAAGCCTTTTCTTATTCCTTTGTTTTATTCTACATTTATTTCTTCTTACTGTCATTCGATTTTCTTTCTCTCTGTTTCTTCTTCCTCTCTTTATTGCTTCTATATTTCCTTCCTCTTTTCCTGGTTCCTTTTCATTCTTTCAGTGCCCTGTCTTTTTTCATCATCCTCTCATCTTTTTATCGCTTTATTCATTATACTTTTTTCTTCTTTCATTTATTCCTTCCTTCTTTTAGTTACGTGTTTGTCATTCTTCCTCACTTTTTGGTCACGTTATATTTGGTCTCTTCATTCTTTTTCCTTGCCACCTTTTATTTCTTTTTTTTTTTCATTCTTTTCGTTTTATTCGTTGTTTCGCTACTTTTTCCATACTTAATATTTTCATAGGCTTTTCATACTTTCCTCCATTTTTCCTTTCTTTTTTGCACAATTTTTGCTCCTCATTTTTTTCCAGTTTTTATTTACTTTCGCATTTTTTCCTTCAATATTTATTTC